TTCAATTGGATGGAGCTCCGCCTCATTATCACTGCGAAGTTCGGCAATTTTTAAATGCCAACTTTCAAAACAGGTGGATTGGCAGAAATGGGTTTAAAATTGGCCCCCCAGATTTTCGGACTTAACGCCACTAAAGTTCTTTTTGTGGGGGTACATAAAAGGAATTGTCTACCATACGCTTCCGACTACTTCACACGATGTGAAAACAAGCATAAGAGACGCGTTTAAAACTGTAACTCCGCAAATGTTGTCCAGACTTAGCAGTGGTTTTGCAAAAAGAATTAACAAGTGCCTGGAAATGGACGGTCAACATTTCGAACATTTGTTATGAATAATTTGCCTTTGTTTTATGTTATTGTTGATATGTTATTTAACCTTTTAATTAAAAAAAAAAACACCAAGTGGTGTACAGAACCACTGGTTTAACTTGTAACCTTGGTGTAACTTGTAAAAAGTCAAAAACCTAGTTATCAACATCCTAGTACCATTCGATAGGCAATTAAAAATTGTATTTCCCGGTAAGCTAAAAAATATGGGGTTGTATTTAAATTAATCAAGTTATAGCCACTTAAAGTTGTTATTTGATTAGTTCAAATTTGTGGACACCCTGTATAAAATGGTAAGTTTATTATCATTGGGATATAAAATATGATTTCTTGTTACACTGCACTACGAATTACGTTTACCTAATTTAAATAATTCTAAAGTATTTGACACATAAAAATAATATTAGATTTTGATAAAATTCGAATTATTTAAAAAAGCTTTCGATTTAGACATTATAAATCTCATTAAAACAAACACCTATTTTGCTCAGAAAATCCAAAAATGAAAGATTATATAGGATATTTCATTTACAAAAACACAACTTTGATACTTTTAGGGCTTTTGGGACACTCCGTACATTACAAAAATATTTGTAGAATGTGCACCCGATAGGCCTCTGTGGATTCATCAAATAATACTTCGCAAAAAACAAACGGGCTAGCCGCAAACGGCCGTGCCGTATAGCGTGAATAACCATGTATAGTAGTTTTTTCATAATTTCTTATAGTTTTGGGTATATATGATTTCTTTGATGCCCAGACAAACAGAACTTGACATGCTCCTGAGGTATCCTTTTCAAGGAAAATACTTTCGTCTAAATATTCATTTATTTCTAGAATGATAAATGCTGTGGAATTGCTCGGATTTGAGTGTTGTCGAACTTCCGCATAAAACTCAAACTATAAACCATCAAATAAACTGTTTTATATGCAATATTTTGGTAGATTTGTGCGACTTCACTTTGAATACGATTATCACATCTTTTATTTTCTACATTTCATTTAATTTCTTAAATACTTAGGGAACTTAATTTAAAATCTGGTCCATTTTAGAAAAGGCTATTACTTAAATTAGATTAATTATATCAGGTAAATTAATAGTAAAATATTTTTTATTTGCTCTTTATAGTTGAGCTCTCCGTGAATAGTTCTGTCTTCTAGTGTTTCATGCGTTCTGAATATCGACAGCTGAAGGGAATAACCGGCCAACTTGTGATCGGCTTCAAGAACCGGCTAACTTGCAACCCGCTTGAAGAACCGAATAACTCGGTAGCATTTTTATTCTCTCTAAATTTGTCGTGGCAGCCGTGCACGATTTTAATAAACGATTCCTATTAAATTTACGCTATTTAAAATTCTGAAAAAAGTGGAGGTGTCCCCTAAACAATCGCAATTCTTTGAATGTTATCAAAATTATTGAAATATTTGGAAAAATTTTGACTGTTTTTGGTAGGTGTCAAAATATTTTTAAAAAAATTTGAAACTCAATGTATACTGGTAATGCTGCTATACAGGGTGATTTATGTAGACCGTGCATTAGCAGTTTTTCAACTTACCCATGCCATTGCAAATATTTACGGAACAAGTTTTAAATTCAAACCCCAAATGTGGTGGCTAGTTAGCTTAGGGCCCATACTAACTCCTACATACCATTTGACATTAAGGTACCCATTTTGTAGCATATGCAGCCTACAAACATTGATAGGCAAAGAGGAAAAATCACTTTTTTTAAATTACACCTACAAACTTTTTTGATCTTGTTTAAAAAATCTACTATAATTAAACATTAACATACTAAACTAAACAGGACCAAAAAACTTAATAGGTACCATTTACAAAAACTGATTTTTTAATATGTTTTTAGACAACATGCCCTCACATGTTACAAAATGGATACCTTTGTCATTTCGAAAGTTCGCCTGGGCTTTCAGCTACCTATCGACCAAAATTGGGTTTTAATTAATTAATTAACATCTGTAGTGGATTTTTTTAAAAACAATTGACAAATTACAAAAACTATAAGAGATCAGTTAACAAAACTAGGGTTACCCAAACTCGCGATTGGAAGCCCAATCCAACCATGCTAACGAAATTAGGGGTTTCCAATTAAAATAAGAAAATTAGGATATAGTTTCCGTACACTGTATAGCTTAGAGGGCCAAATGTATTTTATGTCGTTCGGCAAGACTGGTTATGACCAAAATGGAAACAAAACTTGAAGTTTCTAAAACAACTTCAAGTTGGAAAAATAGTAAAGCATGGTCTACGTAAATCAGCGTGTATACCATAAAACCATACACCTACCCTAACTGAACTTTTTACTTACTTCAATTACGATCAATAATTTTTAATAATTAAAAAAAATGCGAATGTATAGAACAACTGACAACTTAGACTTTTTTTCAAAATTTTTAATTGCGTAATTCGAATACCGATTAGTTTCTTTTATCCCACCACTACGCCCCAAATGAAAAAATTCAAAAATGTAGAACGAAAAATTTATTTCCAAATATACAAACGAGCCATACATGTAACCTAAGTCTAAGTACATACATTTATAGATATTTAGACTTTAGCTACTGTAGAGAGAGATGAATTTTTGCACTTGTTGCACTCTCAATTTTCCATTTGTTTTCTTTCACAAAAGGTGCACCTGCCAGAAGTAGATGGCATCGAATGTAGATTTGCTTCTTCTGACTTTATATCTAAAATTATCTCAATAATAAGTCGGAGTTCGAATGGTAAAGTTCGTAATGCCAGGCGTTTACTCATCAGCGGTGTAACAAGATCTCGACCCAGTTTTTTTACGAACGACCATTTTTCTGTTAGGCATTGACTCTCTTTCTGGAGCATTAGAACCTTTACATAAAACGTCGGAATTAATTCCAACAATGTCCAACAGGTTATGAAAAAACTCTAAGAAGCCAGCGTCTTGTTTTTCTAGCAACAGTATATCTATGCGCCAGCTGATCGAATGTGTCTACTACGCCTTTGGTTAGAGTATCAAACTTTCGAATTCGGTTTATCACCTATAGGATGCATTGTAGACAGGAGGAGCATTTTTTCTTGTGTATATTTTGGGGGGCAATATGAAAGAAGAATAAAAAACTCGCTGTACGGAAACATTAATTTTTTTCGCCCGTCCTTTACTTAGTTGAACGATCCTGGAATTTCAGCTTTGTTTTTTTCATGGTTCCAACTAATGTTACGAAATGCTCATTACGCAGCTTTTTGGCGGTTTTGACTGAGGTGAACCAATCATCTGACGTGAGGTTACGATTTGTTCAATGAATTGGCTTTTTAAGGTTTAACGTGTAATATTCAGCTACAGAAGAAATATCTTAGAGTGTTGAATTTTTTGCTCAATGTAAACCTCAGCATTTAGAAGATGAAAGGTTTTTGCATCACAAAGCGCCAACATTTTTATACCCCTCTTCTGCTGACAGAAAGTTGCAGAAGCTTTTCTGGATATAAGCTGGGATGCTTAAATCAATTGTTAGTGGCTCCTAATTATTAGTGGCGGATGGCAAAGTTTAAAAACAATAAACGGTAGGCTTTCTTAGAAAAAATCATATGGCGTCAGGTCTGGGAATATTAGTGGCCACTCAATAAAAGTTTGTCTTTCATTCCATTTATTTGGATAATTATTAACGGGTAATTTACCAGGTGTATATTTTGGTTCCCCTTGCCCTCTACCCTATACTCTCTAATATCGGAAACAGTAAATTTACTTAATTTACAAGCAGACCTGCTAAAATTTGCAATGATTTGAAACCAACCAATCTCCACCATTAAAATACATGATTTTGATTTATATTAAATTATTAGTTTTATTTTCTCATGGCAAATTGATATTTTTTATCGTAGGTATAAGCTCATGTTTTTACATGCCATGGCATAGTGGGTTTTTCGGAATTCCCTTTAATACAGCATATATGCCAAACGTACTATTGGATATGAAAGCTCCATTGACGTTCTTAGCAAGAGTTCAAAATACAGTGACACATTTATTTTCACTTCTATGGTAAGACCAATTCTAGTATATCTATTAACAACATTCGTGGTAAGACTGGAACACCGAACTAACCCTTTCCGAAATTTCATTAATGCTGCATGCCCAGTGTTATAGAAGCGGGAGATGCAAAATATTTAAAGCTTTATGTGGTGCAAGTCTGCTTTTACCAAAATAAACGATTTCACTTGATTAAATCAACGTTTTCTGAGATAAGTTTGAGTTCAGTTCTAATCACAAAATACAACGATATAAATTTAGCAAAAATTTGCCGGAGGAATTTCAACTAAAACTCGTCCAGTTTTTATGTAATTAGCATAATGTGACTGCTGTTGATTATTACTTATTTTTTGCTGTTGATTAGTACTTACAGCTTCACAGCTTTCGTCAGTTTAAAAAATACCGAATATTGCACTACTGGGTTTAATAATTGATTAACAGTTTGTCAGAATTCTTACAAATTTGCTCCACAAATATGTATAATCATCCACTCGCCTTATCAATTTAATTTTTACACAAGTGGCTATTTCTGACGATCTGGAAAAGCATATTATATTTAGAGTGACGCTTACCGTGCAGAGTTCTGCATGATAGTCCTTGCAACTCCCAATTCAAAAATAGATCTGAAAAAAATGAATTACCGAGGTTTTGCAACGGCCAACAAATCGCAAAAGCTCACAAGGGCGATAAAAGGGATTATTTAACTGAATACATTACGGTCTGGTCACCCTTATTGCTTGAACTGAAATCAAAGTTTCAAGACTTGTTTTCCTTTTCCAAGCAGTGATCTTGTTTTTCCTGGAACCTGTTGATCAATTTGCGCACTGATTACATTCAGTTTATGCGTGTTTAACTATACAGGGTGATTCAAAATTGGCGTCATTCCTTTTAAGGGATGATAGAGGCTCCCTTGGGGAGTACGAGAAAAATATTTAAATTTTTTTTTTCGAAAATTTTTAGAAGATATAAGTCTGTATACTATATATAAGTTGAAGATCGAATTTCAACTTTGTTATTATGCATTATTTTGAAATGGTTCTATGTGTAATTGGTAGCATATTTGAATACTTAAGCATTCAAAAAGAAAAATTACGATCTTTGCTTCAAATTACGAACATTTTTGATATCAAAAAAGTTCTCTTCTACAATTTTTTGAT